AAAACAAAATGAAACGCCAGCCAATACACGTTTCATATGCAAAAATTTCAAAATTGTTATTATTGATTAGGTTTGTTTTACATATGTATTTTGAACCAGATTTCGATTTTTGTTTTAGCATCTTTACACACACACATAATACAATGCAGTTACATATGTATGCATGGGTGTGAAGATAATACGGCAAATGCAATGGAATACACTCAGAAAAAAAGGATTATTGTAAAGAGCTCTTCTCGAAACTGTGTGAAAAACACAACTCGACCTATGAAAAAGGATCGGATTTATGAGTAAATCAAATTTTCAAAGTATGTTTTTTCAAAGAAAAATTTTTCAAGAACAAGGCGTGGATTTTTTAAAGGATATTTTAAAGGATTTATTAAGGGACCGTCTAAATCGTGGATATAAAAAAATGACTTTTTTAAAGAAAGCTTTTTTAAATAAGTTTTTGTAAAGAAAATTTTAAAGGACTTATTAAGGGACCGTCCAATGCGTGGATGTAAAAAATGCCGTTTTTAAAGAAAACTTTTTTAAAGAAGTTTTTTAAAGAAGTTTTTTTTTAAAGAATATTTCTTAAAGGTCTTATTGGATTTTTTATAGAAGTTTTTTTTTAAAGAATATTTTAAAGGACTTATTAAGGGACAATCCAAGACGTGGATTCTAAATAAGGGTTTTTTTAAAGAAGGGGTTTTTAAAGAATATTTCTTAAGGTCTTTTTCAAGGACGTCCACGTCCTTTTAGGCTTTTTTAAAGAAGGGTTTATTAAAAAATGCCTTTTTTAAAGAAAGGTTTTTTAAATAAGTTTTTGTAAAGAAAATATTAAAGGACTTATTAACGGACCAAGGCGTGGATTAAAAAAAATGCCTTTTTTAAAGAAAGCTTTTTTAAATAAGTTTTTTAAAGAAAATTTTAAAGGACTTATTAAGGGACCGTCCAAGGCGTGGATGTAAAAAAATGCCTTTTTTAAAGAAGGCTTTTTTTAAAGAATATTTCTTAAAGGTCTTATTGGATTTTTTATAGAAGGCTTTTTTTAAAGAATATTTTAAAGGACTTATTAAGGGACCATCCAAGGCGTGGATTCTAAAGAAGGGTTTTTTTAAAGAAGGGTTTTTTAAAGAATATTTCTTAAGGCTTATTCAAGGACGTCCACGTCTGGGTGGATTTTTTTAGAAGGCTTTTTTAAAGAAGGGTTTATTAAAAAATGCCTTTTTTAAAGAAAGGTTTTTTAAATAAGTTTTTGTAAAGAAAATATTAAAGGACTTATTAAGGGACCAAGGCGTGGATTTAAAAAAATGCCTTTTTTAAAGAAAGCTTTTTTAAATAAGTTTTTGTAAAGAAAATTTTAAAGGACTTATTAAGGGACCGTCCAAGGCGTGGATTTAAAAAAATGCCTTTTTTAAAGAAAGCTTTTTTAAATAAGTTTTTGTAAAGAAAATTTTAAAGGACTTATTAAGGGACCGTCCAAGGCGTGGATTTAAAAAAATGCCTTTTTTAAAGAAAGCTTTTTTTTATAGAAGTCTTTTTTAAAGAATATTTCTTAATTGGATTTTTTATAGAAGGCTTTTTTTAAAGAATATTTTAAAGGACTTATTAAGGGGCCATCCAAGGCGTGGTTCTAAAAAATGCCTTTTTTTAAAGGCATTTTTTTAAAGAAGGGTTTTTTAAAGAATATTTCTTAAGGTCTTATTCAAGGACGTCCACGTCTGGGTGGATTTTTATAGAAGGCTTTTTTAAAGAAGGATTTATTAAAAAAATATTTTTAAGGGACTTATTAAAGGACCTACCAAGGCTTGGATTTTTTATGAAGGCTTTTTTAAAGAAGAGTTTTTTTAAAGAATATCTCTTAAAGAACTTATACAAGGACCAACTAAGGCGTGGATTTTTTAAAGAAGGTTTTTTCAAGGAAGGGTTTTCTAAAGAATACTTTCAAAGGACTTTTTCAAGGACCAACCAAGGTGTGGATGTTTTAAACAAGGATTTTTCTTAAAAACAGATATTTCTTAAAGGACTTATCCAAGGACCAACCAAGGCGTGGACTTTTTAAGGAATATTTCTTAAAGGACTTATCCAGGGTCCAACCAGGGCGTGGATTTCTTAAAGAAGCGGTTTTTTAAAAGGACTTATCCAAGGACCAACCAAGGCGTGGATTTTTTAAAGAATATTTCTTAAAGGACTTATCCAGGATCCAACCAGGGCTTGGATTTCTTAAAGAAGCGGCTTTTTTTAAAGGACTTATCCAAGGACCAACCAGGGCTTGGATTTCTTAAAGAAGCGGCTTTTTTTAAAGGACTTTTCCAAGGACCAACCAAGGCGTGGATTTTTTAAAGAATATTTCTTAAAGGACTTATCCAGGATCCAACCAGGGCTTGGATTTCTTAAAGAAGCGGCTTTTTTTAAAGGACTTATCCAAGGACCAACCAGGGCTTGGATTTCTTAAAGAAGCGGCTTTTTTTAAAGGACTTATCCAAGGACCAACCAAGGCGTGGATTTTTTAAACAAGCTGTTTTTTTAAGGACTTATCCAAGTACCAACCAAGACGTTTTTTTTAAGAAGGAGTTTGCTTTTTCTTAAAGGACTTTTTCGAGGACCAGCCAAGGCGTGAATGTTTTAAAGAAGGGATTTTTGGTAGAAGTAGGGTTGGTAGAAATATCGAGACGTTATAAGTTCAAAAGAAATCGGATGCTTATTTCACATTTTATGAGAGTTTTATTTATTCAAAATATTAACCCGTTGTGGGGGAGGTACTTGATGGGGTGGGCCGATTTTGTTCATTCCCGCACTTAACTTAGCACTGACAAAAGTACTAAGATTTGAAAAGTTGGCACAAAGTTTGATTTTAACTTTTTTGGGGGAGGTACTAGAAGGTGTGGAACGAGGGTTTTCATCTGTAGCTACATGGCGGAGGGTATAGAAATCTAAATAGCATTTCTAACAATATTAACATCAGCAATATAAAGGATCAGAAAACATAAATTTTAAAAAATGTTGGGCCACCTTAAAGTCTTATATACGGGGCTTCTATGGATAAAAGTAATTGTAGAAACTTTTATAGGCCTAGAATATTTTATGAGGGTGGAACTTCTATATATATATATATATATATATATATATATATATATATATATATATATATATATATATATATATTTTTTTTTTTTTTTTTTTTTTTTTTTTTTTGGTAAATAGATCTTCTTTTTTTGGGTATTTTATATTTCGGATACCTTTAGAAAGTCTCATATGGGTATACAAATTTCTAGATATCTCCCATAGACAGGAGATCTTTTACAAATCTTCTATGAATAAAAGGCACTGAACGGCTTTACTTTAGAAAACATTTAGAAGTCTTCAATGGCTAAGAGAACCTTAACACATTATTTTGTTAAATAAGTCGATCTTGATGTTTTCCATAGACGAAAAACCTTGTTAAACTCTTTTTTGGTTTATGTTTAAAGGTCCTGGATCCTTCATTGTTTTTTATAGATTGTGATGCTAGACGACTTTTTTTAAATAAGTCCTTGTTGAGATTTATAGACGTTGTAGACCTTCTAGCGGTCGTCTATGGGCGGCCTTCAACGTATTAAATAGTTGCTAGCTTCTAAAGGTATTATATTTATAACGACTATCAGGAGGTTCTCTCTGGATAGAATAAAATTTTAAAAGCGTTCTGTGGTTAATATGCCCCTTAGGGGTCGTCTTAGTATAAACGACGTCAAAGAAGGATACATGGCGTCTTCTTTGGATATAATACAGTTTAAAGGTCTTCTATGATAGAAGACCGTCTAGTGGTCTTTATTGGCTTTACTGGCAGTAGAGAGCCTGTGCTTATCCAACGTGTTGAAAATCGCCCTCGCAATTTTGTAAACTCAATTAAAACACTAGCTGTCTGCAACTGAACTAAAAGATTTGACGTTAAAAAGTTGAATTTTTTTCTACTTTACATCAGGGAACCCTTTTTCAACAGGTCTCGCCCCATCAGGTGTGAAATTATTCTATTCGACAAATATAACTTCTGGTTAGAATATCCCAGACATAAAACAAGGGAACTGATGAGGATTGGTGGCTCTTTCCGAAACATAGGTATTCCCTGCCTTACCCCCTGGTCAACATTACCATCGTTCTCCACTAATTAACAAACGTTTGTTTTTAAAAAACGTAAATCAAAACACCTTTCTGGAGAAGGCCCACTGTACATGGACATTATTTCATAATACCCCTGCTATATCCAGAGAACAGCAATCCAGTCGTGTAATATTAGACAAAATTCAAAATGCCTTCCATTCACAGAATTTTGAAATTTTAATTCACCAACTAACATTTTTCTCAGAGTGTACATATGCCAACAATGCATGTTACAATGCTATGCAACCAATCAAGCGTCAACAATAACGAAAGTAACATCATATCAACTGAAAAACAACAATAACAAACAACAGAATCAAGCTTCATGTAACGCACAAACCAATTTACATACATACATACATAAATAAATAACGTATTTTCTGAAAAAAAAAAAAAAAACACACGGCTCAAAACGCACAAACCAAAACAATAACAATAGCAACTACAACAACATCATCATAATAACATTTGGTAATGTCATCGTATAAAACAACAAAAACCACTGCCAACAACTACTTCAAGTTAATGTCGTACAAAAGCTTCGATGAAAAAAAGGCTGGAAGAAGCAGAAGAAGAAAAAAAAAAGTAAGCACGCGCTTAACGCGATTCCACTGACTGACTAAATGACTGGCTGGCTGATGGACTGACAGCCAGACTCCACTCGTGGCAGATAGCCTCCTAACACATTAAACCGCTGGGTGTATATTTTGTTGTACACATTGACATACTGTTATTATTTGCTGTTGTGTATATAGCGGGCTGATCTTTCACACTCATGCATGACGGGTAAACAACAACTGTGTTTTTTTGTGGTAGTGCTTGTTTATAGGTAATAGAGGTACGGGGTAAGAAGTTATTGGTAAAAACTTTTTTTTACTCACATTACGAAATTTCGTGTTATCCAAAAATGAAAAAAATTAGAACCTGGAAGGAAAGAAGAGAGGGGAAATTAGTATAAATTGCCAAAATAAAATATATGTAAACATCTGGGATTATAGGACCCAAAATAAATTTATAAAAACCCAAGATTATGGTTCATCTCTGACCCTCCACAAAATGTTTAAGAAATCCACGTTTATTAGTCTATAAGTCCCTCTAAAAAAATGTTTAAAAAATCCAAGTTTATTGGTCTATAAGTCCCTCTGAAAAAATGTTTAAAAAATCCACGTTTATTAGTCTATAAGTCCCTCAACAAAAAAGTTTAAAAAATCCACGTTTATTGGTCTATAAGTCGCTCTGAAAAAAATATTTAAAAAATCCACGTTTATTGGTCTATAAGTCCCTCTGAAAAAATATTTAAAAAATCCACGTTTATTGGTCTATGGGTCCCGCTGAAAAAAATATTTAAAAAATCCACATTTATTGGTCTTTAAGTCCCTCTGAAAAAAATATTTAAAAAAATCACGTTTATCGTTCCGCGGGCGCCTCGGAAAAAATGTTTAAAAAATCCACGTTTATTGGTCTATGGGTCCCTCTGAAAAAATGTTTAAAAAATCCACGTTTATTGGTCTATGGGTCCCTCGGAAAAAATGTTTAAAAAATCCACGTTTATTGGTCTATGGGTCCCTCTGAAAAAATGTTTAAAAAATCCACGTTTATTGGTCTATGGGTCCCTCTGAAAAAATGTTTAAAAAATCCACGTTTATTGGTCTATGGGTCCCTCTGAAAAAATGTTTAAAAAATCCACGTTTATTGGTCTATGGGTCCCTCTGAAAAAATGTTTAAAAAATCCACGTTTATTGGTCTATGGGTCCCTCTGAAAAAATGTTTAAAAAATCCACGTTTATTGGTCTATGGGTCCCTCTGAAAAAATGTTTAAAAAATCCACGTTTATTGGTCTATGGGTCCCTCTGAAAAAATGTTTAAAAAATCCACGTTTATTGGTCTATGGGTCCCTCTGAAAAAATGTTTAAAAAATCCACGTTTATTGGTCTATGGGTCCCTCTGAAAAAATGTTTAAAAAATCCACGTTTATTGGTCTATGGGTCCCTCTGAAAAAATGTTTAAAAAATCCACGTTTATTGGTCTATAAGTCGCTCTAAAAGAAATGTTTAAAAAATCCACGTTTATTGGTCTGTAAGTCCCTCTGAAAAAATGTTTAAAAAATCCACGTTTATTGGTCTATAAGTGCCTCTGAAAAAATTTTTAAAAAAATACACGTTTATTGGTCTATAAGTGCCTCTGGAAAAATGTTTAAAAAATCCACGTTTATTGGTCTATGGGTCCCTCTGAAAAAATGTTTAAAAAATCCACGTTTATTGGTCTATAAGTGCCTCTGAAAAAATTTTTAAAAAAATACACGTTTATTGGTCTATAAGTGCCTCTGAAAAAATGTTTAAAAAATCCACGTTTATTGGTCTATGGGTCCCTCTGAAAAAATGTTTAAAAAATCCACGTTTATTGTTCTGTGGGTCCCTCTGAAAAAATGTTTAAAAAATCCACGTTTATTGTTCTGTGGGTCCCTCTGAATATTTGTTTAAAAAATCCACGTTTATTGTTTTATGGGTCCCTCTGAAAAAATGTTTAAAAAATCCACGTTTATTGTTCTATAGGTTCCTCCGTAAAAAATTTTAAAAAATGTTTAAAATATTGGTCTATGGCTCCCTCTGAAAATTTATTTAAAATTGTTTAAAATTTGTGAAAATTCCCCCACCTTATTATACCACCCCACCTAAATAGGTGGCTTGGAAAAAAAGCGAAAGAAAAACGCCAAAGACAACATGAAAACAAATGCACAAAAGAAGCCTAACAAAATCTAACTAAATAATGATGACAGCAAATACAACAATAATTACAGCTACAACAACAACTATGTCAAACATGATGACGATGTTGTAGCAAATGATGATGATGATGACGACAACGGCAATGATAATAAATGGCGTTGGATAATTGCAATGAAAAATAAAAACGAAGTGTATCAGAAAAAAATCCCCAATTGAAAAAAAGTGGAAAACCCACTATTTTCACAATTTTCAATAAAAACGCCACAAACACACATACATACATTTTAATGCAATATTATTAAACTTGAACAATTTGTAAGTATGTATGACCGACAGAGCAAATGGAAGATGACCGTAAGTCGTAGAGAGCAGATGGGATATTTTCCGAGACAATTGATTGCCGTATTTATTACCTTCTTCATCGTGACTAATAAAAATGTTCTGCTGCGCTCTAGTTTTCAATTACTTGACCAATGACCTACTTTATAATTTTGGTTTTTTAAAAGAACACAATTCCACATAAATTTAATTTGTGGGAAATCATGCCTTCACTTAAGACCCACTTGTTTGTACTCCCAACCTGAAGCGTTAATTGCCTGAAAACATCAATAAATTAACATTTAAACGGATAATATACTAGCGCCACCTATATGTCACTTCATTTAATTGCCAAACCAGCGTCTCTTGTTTGAAACCCAGAAATTACGACATTCTTCGGTTCACTGAATTTCTACGTTCCTACATAAACAGATGCTACACATAAATATATATTTATGTAGATTACTCATATTTGAGAAATTTGTTTACTCTACCCTTCTCTCCTTTGCTTCTGGAATTATTGTTTACTTTTAATGTTTCTCAACGCAATCGTAAACAAACAAAAGTGACTTTCTGTAAAATTATGTACATGACCTAGGTCACCGCCTTTCCGAGTAATAGCATAAATAAACGCCAGTAGTTACCACCAACCCCCCTTTTTCTAAGGCAAGGCAAATATATTTTTTTTTTGTTTTGGAATCTTATCTGGGTTAAATATTGTTGCTTTGTTCTATTTCTAAATAGGTATATTTGCTTATACGTAATCTGATAATCGCACTCGAAATAACAACAATTTTCTATGGTTGTATGAAAACAATATGACCATAACTGCTTTTAGGAACGGCAGATTCCACAGAAATGATTAAAATCACTGGGAGAGTATCTCCATAAATATAAAAGATCGGCAAAATATTTAAAGGAGAATTCTAATGCATAGAGGACATCTAGAAGAGCATAGGAATATTTAAAAACCCAAATATTTAGTTGTATAGGGCTCAGCATAGCCTTGGACTTTAACAATGTTTTCAATGCTATTGGGCGCCATCTAAACATGAATTTTTAAATTGTTTAAAAACAATGTAAAAACAATATTTTCCATGTTTTATTCTGACATAAATTTTTAAAAAATTATGAAATAAATAAATTATTAATTATTTATGTGAGAATAACATTGAAAATATTGTTTTTATAACCCTGAATAAATTGTTTAAAAATTCATGTTTAGATGGCGCCCATCAGCATTTAAAACATTGTTAAAATTCAAGTCCACGTTTAGAAGGCGTTGCATAGCATTGAAAATATTGTTTAAAATCTATGGTTAGAGGGGTTTTAATAGCCTTGAAAACCTTATAAAAATACACGTTTAGAGGACACATGTTCAGATGGCGCCCAACAGTATTTAAAACATTATTAAAATAAAAGTCCACATTTAGAAGGCGCTGAATAGTATTGAAAATATTGTTTAAAATCGATTGTTTGAGGGTCTTTAATAGCCTTGAAACCCGTATAAAAATACACTTTTAGAGGACACTGGAAAACCTTGAAAAAATATTGTTTAAAGGTCGGCGTTAAAAAGGCACCTTAATCCACGTTTAGAGAACGTTTAAGAACCTCGAAAATATCATTTAAAATCCTCTGTTAGAGGGCTTCCAATAGCCTTGGAATTTTAATGCATAGAGGACATCATCTAGAGGAGCATGAAAATATTTAAAAACCCACATGGTGAGGGGGTTGGGGAAAGCTTTCAAAAAAATCGTTAAATACTTAGTTGTAGGGCTCAGCATAGGCTTGATAATATTGAAAAACTAACTAAGAAAAATACTGATAATAATGGATTTAAAACCAGGTTTAAAGAGCTCCCAATAGTTTTGAAAACATTATTAAACATTCCAGGTATAGAGGGCGCTGAGTGTCCTTGACATATTGGTAAAAATCCACGTTCAGAGGGCATTCAATAGCCTTGAAAATATTAGCTTAAAGTCCAAGTTAAGAGAGTGTTCAATAGATTTTAAAAATGCGGTTTAGAAGTCTTCGTTTAGAGAACACTTAATAGTTCTGAAAATATTTAAAAAAAAACTCCACGCTAAAATGACATTCTATAGCCCTGTAGTCCACTTTTAGTGGGGGCTCAATAGCCATGAAAACGTTTTTTATTAAAAATTTAAAACTTAACATGCTTAAATGCTTAAAAGAAATTCAGAGTTTACAGGCTGCCCCGTTGCTTTGAAAATATTATTTAAAAATCCACTTTTATAGGACAAAAATCCAAGTTTAGAGGGCGCTTAATAGTCTTGAAAATATTGTTTAAAAATCCTGGTTAAATGGGCGTTTATAACCTTGAAAATATTGGAATAAAGTTCATTTAAAGGCCACTTAATAGCTTTGAAAATATTGTCCAAAAATTCGAGGGCGCTTAACAGCCTTGCAAATTTTCTGCTATTGTTAAAAATCCACGTTTAGAGAAGCGCCCTCTAAATAGTCTCACAAATATTGTTCAAAAATTCCACATTTAGATGGCGCTCAATAGCAATGGAAATATTGTTCATAAATTCCACTCAATAGTCTTGAAAAAATTGTTATAAAAATTCACGTTTAGAGGACGCTCAGTATCCTTGAAGATATGGATAAAAATCCACTTCTAGGAGGCGCTCAATAGCCTTGAAATTATTGTTGAAAAATTCATGTTTAGAGGGAGCTCAGTAGCCTTGAAAATTTTGCAAAACATGTCTACGATTAGAGGCCGCTTCACAGTCTTAAAAAATCACTGTTAAAGGGCTTTCAGAAGCATTGAAAATATTGTTAAAAATTTATAAATTGTAAAGATTTATAAATTTATTTAGAGGACGTCCAAGAAATATTGTTTAAAAGTCTACGTGTAGA